GGCAGTAAGTGCCCTAACCCACTGAGCTATTTTATCAGAACTTTTTCTGTAGTTTGTAAGTGCCTTGTTTGGTTTCTCCTAGGAGACACACGGCTTGAAAGCTGAGCTCATGTATTTGCCATCACTGTAAGACCTTGTCATTCTACCATTACTGACATGCAGTAGGAGCTCAGTTTCTGTTCATTGAGTAAATTGTCAGTCAGCATGAGAGTACCTTCATTTTGTATTACCTTTTTAGCCCAGATGACCATTGAGCTAACCATTATCTTATAATGGCCATAGAACAAGCTGTGCTGTGAAACCCCAAACAACACCTCATCTCATGTTGATATAGTTACAAAGTTTATGGTCTGAAAAAAATCTGTGCCTTTTAAACCCCAGAGGGCAGGTGTGTTAACAGAATTTTCAAATAAATGAAGAGTTCCATTACCTCACCATTGCTGTTGATGAATTGGCCTCCTATGACACTTAAGCATCAAAACACATTGCGTGTTTTCAGGTGAGAGGCTGACAAGAACAATTTGATTAAATTTTAGAAAAGTCTTATGAAGAAAGTGCTGTTGAACTTTCCTCAGTGCATTTCTACTTTGAAATATGCTATCTATTGTGTATTATCTTCCAGTCTTCATTGTTGTCTCAAAGTCTTATATTTTGGGTACTAACTGGGTTCAGAGGCTAAAAGTTAGAATGAAAATACCAACAAATCCACTTGAGATCAGTAGTGAACCTTTAGTCAGAAAGCAGCATGCTCAGGGTCTGGAGATGCTCTGTGGTTAAGGGAAGTACTACCTGTGGTCCAGAGATGCTCAGCGGTTAGGGAAGGTACTGCTCGGGGTCCGGGGGATGCTCGGTGGTTACAGGAGGAACTGCTCGGGGTCCAGAGATGCTCGGTGGTTACAGGAGGAACTGCTCGGGGTCTGGGGATGCTCGGTGGTTACGGGAGGCACTACTTTTACAAAGGACCTGAATTTGGTTCCCAGAACTTAACTTGGGCTGCTCACAACTGCTTATAAATAACAATGAAAAAGCTTCATGTTCACAAAACACCTGTTCTCCTTATGCAAACAGGTTAGTTTTCTGCGTTTTGAAGTTGTCCATCCAGTTACTTAAATCTTCAGGTACTCGCTGCTGGATGGGCCTCCAGAATTGGGTGGCAAGTGCCTTTTCCTGCTGAGCCGCCTTGCCAGCCTGCTCGCTCATCTTTTTTCTCTTCCTCATCTTCATTTTATTTTTAATTGGCCCATTATTATACATATTTATAAATTATACCATATTTTGACACATGTAAACATTGTGTTATAATCAAACCAGGGTCATTATCATACCCATCATCTCATATTCTGTGGAGTGAAAAATATTTAAAATCCTCTCTTCTAGCCATTTTCAAGCATATTACATTATTGTTATTATAGTCTCATTTCTGTGCAATAGAACAGAACTTTTTAATATGACTGTAACCTCAACTCTTCAGATAATGATGTTCAAAATTAGAATTAGTAGATGCTATTCCAAGCAGATTTAGAGTCTCACTTTGCACATTGAGAGAGCATATTTTAGTTATATCTAAAAGAACATTAATTCTTTTGACTTGCATTGTGTTGTATTACCTTCATTTTTAAAGGCTTTTTTACATCGGTAGGCGTGATTCATGTATTCTGGAGTTTTAGCCACTAGACTCAAGTACAGACCCCCCCCCCCATTCAGATTCTTGTAAAGGTGCAGCCCATTGAGACAGACTTGTGGGGATATTTTTGGTTCATGGTTGGGTCATGTAGCATATTTGATCTCTTGCCCAGCTTGTCATCTGCCCATTTGATAAGTATGTTTTCTTTTTCCAATTTAGTCATTCACAGAGATGTTGAGGCAAGTCAAATTGGAATCTTTCTATTGTTGGTGTGGATTTTTACAGAGGAGCATAGTGTCTTGCTCTGTAACTCAGGCTGGCCTTGAATTTGCAATTTTCTTGTCTCTACCTCCTGTGTACCTGTGCTTGATATTCTCTCTCTCTCTCTCTCTCTCTCTCTCTCTCTCTCTCTCTCTCTCTCTCTCTCTCTCTCTCTCTCTCTCTCCCTCTCCCTCTTCCTCCCTCTCCCTCCCTCTCCCTTTCTCTCCCTCTCCCTCCCTCTCTCCCTCTCTTTCTCCCCTCCCTCCCTCTGTCCCTCTTTTTTTTTTTTTTTTTTTTGGAAGCAGGATATATGTGGACCAGGCTGGCCTTTACAGAGACCCTCTGCTGGGACTAGAGGCAGATGCCACTACTTGTGACTAGTTTTCTTTTTAAAGGTTTATTTTTATTTATGTATATGTGTGTGGGTATCCAAGGAAGCCAGAAGAGGGTATGAGATCCCTTGGTGCTACAGTTACAGGCCACTGTGAACCACCTGATGTTGGTGCTAGAAACTGAACATGGGTTCACTGCGATAGCAGTACATGCATGCTACTAGGGGCAGTAAGGGAATGAAGAACAGACAACACATGTACAATGAAGCTGGGATCAGGCAGGCTTCTCCAATGCAATTGCTACCTCCGCAACCTGGAACCTTAGTGTGTTTATTAGGTATAGCACCAGGGAAGGGGTTAGCTAGTCTCAGTAGGAGGTCTCTATGGTTGAACTGTCTTAGGGTGTTCAGGAGGAAGAAGTTGCAGTTGCTAGTCTTTGTACAACACCAATAATCATCTATGCTTTGAGTCCCAAGAACAGCTTTGCCATTTCTCTTGAGCTTGGTTCATACGGTTAACAGCTTTGCCAATACTCTCATGGGTCTGTGGCTTTGGGTATTCTGGAGATGTGACCATTCCTGTGTCAAAATGTACTACCGGGCCATCTCCCAAGCACCCTTTTAGTTTATTTTAATGGGTTTATTTTGTATGGAGATAGAATTGTCAATTTAGATAATTGTAGCATTCTGAAATTGTAGCAGGGATTGTCTTTCAGCTGACTAGTCGGTTGCAGTCACTTAATATCTAGTTCAAGACACTAGAAATTAGTATGGTCATAGAATAACATTAGGAACAACTTTTAAAAGTTAGTAACCTTGATTATATTCTTTTGTAGCTGGGCGGTGGTGGTGCACATCTTTAATCCCAGCACCTGGGAGGCAGAGGCAGGAGGATCTCTGTGAGTTTGAGATCAGCCTAGTCTATAAGAGCTAGTTCCAGGACAGCCTCCAAAGTCACAGAGAAACCCTGTCTTGGGGGAAAAAAAAAGATTATATTCTTTTGTATAATTAAATACATGCATGTGTGGGTTTGTGCATGTGAGTGTTGGTTTATGAGGCCAGATGCCTGGGATACCCCTGGGCCACCAAAGGTGGGTGTTTGAAAACCGAATTTGTGTCTTCTGGAAGAGTAAGTAGTGTGTGTTTGCTTTTTTAATCACTGATCTCTCCTGCCCCTAAATATTTTTAAATTAATAAAAATTACATAATTCTTGCAGGGTATGGTAATGTTTACCTTTATAGCCCAGCACTCAGGAGGCAGAAGCAGGTGAATCTCTTGAGTTTGAGGCCAGCACAGTCTACAAAGTGAGATCCAGGACAGCCAGGGCTACATCCTAAGACCCTGTCTCAAAACAAAGAAAAAACAAACAAAAAGCAAACTTGATCTTTGCCTTCAGCAGAATTTACATCTAGTGGGAGAACAATTTGATAATTATAAAAATGTGATCATAATATTTTCAGTGATCTGTATGCTGAACAAATATTAGCCAAGAAAGGTAGAATGCAAGCCACAAACATAATTGAAAACTGTCTACATTTCTAGTTACATTTTTAAATAGAAATGAGAGTGGTTTTGAAAAGAAAGTTAGGTTTTTTTTTGTTTTTTGTTTTTTTTTGTTTTTTCGAGACAGGGTTTCTCTGTGGCTTTGGAGGCTGTCCTGGAACTCCCTTTGTAGTCCAGGCTGGTCTCAAATTTACAGAGATCCTCCTGCCTCTGCCTCCCGAGTGCTGGGATTAAAGGTGTGCGCCACCAACGCCTGACGAAAGTTAGTTTTTTAATGTGTGAGGCATGTGGAGGGTGGTGGCGGTAGGGGATGCATGCAAATGAATGCTCAGGTACATGTACCATATGGGAGACCAGAGGAAGGTGTTATGTTTCTATTGCTCTGTACCTGAAGCTCACCATTTGGTCCAAGGCAGCTGACCCAAGGCAGCTCTTGGGAGCCACCTGTCTGCAAACCCCCAATGTTACAGTTATAACCATGCCTAACCACACGTGTATTTTTATGTGGGTGCTGGGCTTCTAACTCCATCCTTCATGTTTGTAGAGCAAGTGCTCTTACCCACTGAGCCATCTTTCAGCCCCTAAAATTAATTCAATGATAGATTTTATTTAAACTTATATGACATAATATTTCAATGTGACAGCAATATTTAAAATCAGATTCTTTTTCTTGCTATATCTTTGAAATCCTTGGAGTAGTCGTATTGAAAGTGCTCAGTAGTCACAAGTAGCTAGTGGCTACTATACTAGATAGGAAAATTCTTTGCCCATATCTAGAAAATTCTGTAGTAGTGAACAAATATTTTCCCCAGTTGAATGGAGAATTCAGCTTGATTGTCTTATAACAACCATATATGATTTATTCTGTGTGGGAGGGAGGCTTTGTGGTATCCCTGGTTCATGGTGCTTTCAGTGTCATATGTAATATGCAAGTTTTTTTTTCTTTTTTGGTAAATTTTTGAGACAGGGTTTCTCTGTGTAGCCCTGGCTGTCCTGGATCTCACTCTGTAGACCAGGCTTTCTTGGACCTCACAGAGATCCACCTGCCTCTGCCTCGCAAATGCTCTTGCATCACCACTGCTCAGCACAAGTTTTTTTTTTTGTTGTTGTTGTTGTTTGTTTGTTTGTTTTGTTTTTACAGTGTCTGTGTTATGGCTGAGTTAAAGACCCAAGGTCACTCCTGAATTTTGATTTAGTGTGCTGTGCTAAAATCTCTCTTCTATGAACTGTGTGGGGAAAAAAATGCAGTTATCCAGTGACTCCTTTTTGCTTCCACTTAGGATGTGTCTAGTCCGAATGAAGCAGGAAGGCCGGTCTGGAAAATACATGTGCCGGATCATAGTCCATTTTATGTGGGAAGACGTGGAGCAGCGAGGCAGAGTTATGGGGGTAAGCACTTGCCTGCAAGATGCTGGTCTGGACAACTGTGATGAAAGAATGTCTGTCCTGAGTCTGAGGTTGTTTCTTCTTTAGGATGGCTTTGCTTTTGGATCTCTGTGAAATGTTGCCCAATGTCAAAGACACTGCTTAGCTATAGTCCCTTTTTTTGCCTCTTGGGAGCCTGACATACCAGGGATACTTTATGGGTTTGTTCACATGATTGTGGTTTGTTGGTATGAGGACATCTTGTATACGGAAGTAGATATGAAATGGTGGTAGGGAGGATAGAATGGGGAACAAAATGTCTGGTCTAAGGACACTGCCTTTGACATTATTCAATGTTTAAATTAGTTCTCCTTTTAAGTTCTTTGATTGATGGGTTTTGTTTTTTTGAGACATTGACTTATGTATGCTGGCCATGGACTTGCTATACAGCCAAGGGTGGCTTTGAATTCCTGATTCTCCGGCCTCCACTTCCTAAGTGTTGGGCATACACTACCATACCTGACTCTCTACGTTAGTCCTTTTGGGAAGATTCTGGCGTGGGGCTTGTAGTCCTAGAAACTAAAGAAAATTCTGGTCACTAGCAACTTAGAAGATTTTGGCAAACTACCCATTGAAAATAACTACCTTAGTAAATTCAGTAATTAGCCTGAGAGAAGAGAATATAGAATTTTTTTTTTTTTTTTTTTTTTTTTTTTGGTTTTTACGAGACAGGGTTTCTCTGTATTGTTTTGGAGGCTATCGGTCCAGCCCGGCCTCGAACTCACAGAGATCCGCCTGCCTCTGCCTCCCGAGTGCTGGGATTAAAGGCGTGCACCACCACCACCACCACCCGGCGAGAATATAGAATTTACATTCATGTTCGTGCATGTATGTGTGCAGTTGTGTGTGTGTGTGTAAAATGATTGCTAGCTATAGAGAATGTGTGGTACTGGGTTTATACATGTGTGCATGTGTGTATGTTTTATTACACATCACCTCGTTCTTTATTACTTTGTTGCCACTCTCTTTTACTCAGCATTGTTTTGGAGGTCTTTCCAGCTATGTGGGTGTTCAGTCTGTCGTGCTTTGTTACTGTGTCCGTTTTCAGGTACTCCTGTGCTGCTGTCTGTCAGCCCCATGTACTTTTGCTTTGTATAAAATTGCAATCTTTGAGACTTATTCCATGCATGTGCATGATGGTTTCCTCTTGGGATCCTGGGTTGAGGGTTTTCTTACATCTTTGAAGGAACTGTAGTGTAGGAAGCACTGTAGACATGGGTTTGCCTTTGAGTATCTTTATAGACATTTACATGACATTTTGTGGGGACAGCATGACATTTTTCTGTTCATTCTGAGAAAGTGAAACATCAATTGCACCTATTCTCATCACCACCTGCCTTGAAGTCATGAGTGAGCTCTCTCTTTAATGTTATGTATGTGTTCCTGAGTGCATGTATGTATGCCTTGAAGATTCAGGAGCCCAAGGTGCTCAGAAGAGGGTGTGGGATCCCTCTAATCCCTTTACTTATACAGTTGTGAGCCACCATGTGGGGCTGGCAACTGAACCCTGGTCCTCTTCAAGAACAAGTGGTGCTCATAAGCCCTGAACCATCTCTCTGGCCCTGTACTGGGCTCTTTATAGCTGTCCTCTTTGGTTCTTGTTTCATTTCTCTCGCTGTCATGCCTGCTGGCTTTCTTTCAGTCCAGAGGGAGGTCAGCAGACAAAGCAGCTCATACAGCTGGATTTTCTACGTCCTCAAGTGTTTACTACTCAATTCTGTGGCAGCACACATTGGATTTAGGGGGGTGTTGGCATCTCAGCTCACCCTATTAATGATGACCAGTAATATCCTCTGGCCAGCCAAAGCCTTCATGGACTGCCAGGTGTTGCGTTAGTGTCTCTTCCATTACTTGAACCTGTTTGACTTATCTCTGTTGACTGAACTCTGCTGGCAGTGGGACCAGTAGGACCAAGTGAGCCACAGCTGTCCTGTCCTAAATAGCTTAATAATCCAGAAATTGCTGACTTCTGGACCACAGGAATTTTTTAATTACACCCTCTCCCACTGACTTTCTCTCCCATATGTAGCAGCAGCTGGCACTTTTCCCTTGTCCGTGTGCTTTGTGTGTGATCTCTCCTCTCCTTCATCGTAAGCTTCCTGAGAGCAGGAACTGTCTCATTCCATTTGCTTACATGGTAATGTCAAGTGGATAAATAGGATGAGCTGAATGAGAGCACAAAGTCAACTTCAGCCTCTGCTGTATGTTTTCTGTTTGTTAGTTTGTTTGTTTGAGACAGGGTCTCATTAGATAGCTCTGGCTGGCCTAGAACTTACTGTGTAGCCAGACTGGCCTCTTATTTACAGAGATACACCTGTGTTGCCTCCCAAGTCCTGGGATTAAAGGTGTGTACCACGATGCTAGTATGTTCGGTTTTAAGGTAACATTAGATAATGGTACTTGATTCTTTCCTTTCTGTACAGTACTACAGAGTCTTTTTAATTTTTTTCTCCTCTATTTTGTCCATTTGGATTGTTCCTAGGTAGTGTGCCATCCTATAAGGCAGCATAGTGTCCCTCCCTTTTAGTGTACCTGCAGTTCATCTGGTGACCTTGATAAAGTACAGATGTGATTCAGTAAGTTTCTGACAAAGGCCAGGGAATCTGCTTTCCCTCCCTTCCTTCCCTTTCTTCTTCTTTCCTTTCTCTCTGTCTCTTTACAGAGTATCCCAGGTAGGCCTTGAACTCACTATGTAACCAGGATGACCTTAAACTTCTGATGCTGAGATTGTAGAGGTGCACCATCATCCCGTTTTATGTTGTGCTGGGAGTGAACCCAGCACCCACCAGCTGAGCCATATCCTCAGTCCTGAGAGTATTTTCTCTCCTCTGTCTCTCTCTGCTGTAGGACCTCATGTAACCCAGACTGACCTTGAACTCACCAAATAGCTATGGATGACCTTGTATCTCTGGTCGTCCTTTTGCTTACTTGTCCCAAGTTCTGGGATTTCAGGTATTCACTGTCACATCCGCTTTCGAGTGTCCACTCTTCTGACAAGTTTCCAGGTTTTGCCTATATTATAGGGGTGTGGGAGGTGACAACCATACTTTAAAATAGCAAGGTGTTAGTAATTCCCCTAGGCTCCTAAATTACCTTCATGAAGAGAAATGCCCAAGCTCTGGTTTAGTTACAAAAACTACAAATGGAAGATGGTGCTTTAAAAATACAAATTTAGAATAATTGGGTAATTACTGTTCTTGCTTTTTATTATATTTGGTACTCCATCTTTCTAACTTGATGGCATAAACAGGCAACTTTTCCGTAGGAAAGGCAGTTGTATACTAACCCCCTATATTTTGTGAGAGTGTGCGGGTATAGGGGCTTTCAGTGTTAGTGTACAGCCTGCAGCAGGGGGACATGTGACTTTGAAAAGCAATAGGTGGAATGAATAGAGTCTGGCCTAGTTCTCCCACAGAGGACAAGTCTTGACTTCCTGTGCTCACAGGACACAGAAGCAGGTCCAAGGTGCTGACTACATGGCTGCCGAGTTTCTTTTCAACTTTGAAAAACTCCAGATTTGAAGGTGGTAATTTGCAAATCTTTCTGTGTTATTTGGCGTTCCAGGTATACCTCTGTAAGAAAAGTCATAGAAAAAAATAATGCTTATAAAGCCAGTCAATGTTGCGGTTTTTCTCATGCCAAAGAATTCTTAGAAGCCATTACTTTGAGTGGATGGGTGTGGCAAGGATCAAGAGCCAAAAGCACCTCTTGCAAGCTGATGACGAGTCAGAAATTTTAATCAGGGTTCCTTTGAAACTCGGATTCCAATCAAGAATTCATTTGGTATTCAGAGTTCTGGTCTCATACGAGGGGAGACTTTGCTTTTCATCAGCTTCTAAGAAGCCCAGCTGTGGTGGCACATGGCTCAGATTCATGCGTCATTGGTGAAGCCAGTACAAAAAGCAACTGCTAAATGTGAGGTTACAAAAATCACATCGATAATTTAGTGTTCTTTTTAAAAGAAAAAAACCACCAATATTTCAATATTTGGGATTTAAACATATAAATTAGCTGTGGAAATAAAGTTCATTATATCACCTCATCTGGTCTTGTTTTATTTCATTAACTGGGTCTTAAAAAACCTTTGTGAGCTGGGTTGCAGCTGAAGAGCTGGAGACCATTTTTCCTTGGGCCCTTGCCGCACTCCTGAGTGTTGGTAGGAGTGAGAACCTGGACTTGACACAGCTGTAAAAACAGACAGCCCTTTGGCCTCAGTACTTTCTCCGGCTGCAGGCAGCTTTCAGATGTAAATTTCACTCTGCCTCTCCTTCTAATGAAGTAAGTTTCTTTTGCTGGGTTTGCACCAGGTGTGTCCAGGCTTGGGGCTAACTGGGTGCTTTACTTAAATTTTCCATTTGTGACATTTCAACCAAACTTCGAAAACAAACAAGAATTAGCTCAAGGCAGTGGCTCAGAGTGTTAATGGTAACCTTAGGCTGGTGAAATGACTTCCTGTCAGTTCTGCTCTGCCAGACATCTCCACCTTACAACTTACAATGAGCAGGTTCAAGCTTTCCAAGCCAAGGTGGGCAGGGGTGGGGATAGACTGTAGTTAAGGAATTAATTTATTCTCATCAGCGGTTCCTACACTCAGGTTACCTCAGTGAGATTTCAGATAGATGACTTCTTGCCAGTGGTTCCAGAGTAAGACGACCCTCCTGTCCTCTGCTCTTTGTGTCACAGCTGCTGGATGCTGCTGCTTTGCTTCTCAGACCCCGTGTTTTGCATTGCAAAATCCTCTCCGGTCACACTCTGCATTCTGTGGCAGCGGCTCCAAACTCATTTCCTACAGTGCTTCTCGAACCTTAAGCACATGGGCCTGGCATTTACAGAGCACTTAGATTCGCATTCCATTCTTGCTTCACATGCCCTTCCCTCCAGCCAAGCCGAATGCCTTGGTGCTCCTGTCTTGTGTCTTTTCTTCATTTGGTGTATACACTTAAATTGTCCTCATGCTTCATCCCCAGAATGGGACCAATCTACTTCTCCCTTGCTGCAAGTACCGTAGTAATTTATGTAGCCTTCTTTGGACTTCTATTCTTTTTCTCCTATGTCATGGTTGTCCATGCATACTGACCATCTTCTAGATGAATTTCTGAGGGTCAGGGCCATATGTATCCCTCTTTGTAGTCTCCAGAGTGCTTATAATTCTGCCTGTTGGCAGAATAGTAAATGTCTGAAGAATGAAAGCCTGGGAGATAGGTATTGGGGAAAATGGGGCATGAAGGTGCTTTTTTTTTTTTTTATTCTGAGGATATTTATCAGCTGTGTTAGTTTTGGGGAGAGAAAAACGATTTACTGTAGTTTTTAAAATTTCATTTATTTTCGTGAGTACCCATGCATATGTGTACAGGTATGCACACTCCACAGGTCAGAGAACAACTTGCAGAACTCACCCTCCTACTATGTAGGTCCTGGGAAACTGATCAGGCTGTGGGGCTTGGCAGCAAGTGCTCTTACTGCTGAGCCATCTTACCTGTCTCCTGCTGTCAGTTTTTCTGTTTCTATTTTCCACTGGAATTGATTGACTTTTTTTTAAGCCCTAGCTTAAAATAGGGCATTTTATGTTTCATTTATTATTATTATTATTATTTTGGTTTTACGAGACAGGGTTTCTCTGTATTGTTTTGGAGGCTGTTGGTCCAGCCTGGCCTCAAACTCACAGAGATCCACCTGCCTCTGCCTCCCGAGTGCTGGGATTAAAGGCGTGCGCCACCACCGCCTGGCCATTTTATGTTTCAAAAGTGGAATTTGGATATTAACAAGGCTTAGATTTTCTGAAAATCTCCCTCCCCCACAAAGATTTCCAGAGAAGGCTAGGGATGTTACTCGGTGGAAGAATGCTTGCCTAGCACACATAAAGTATAATCCCTATCACTTAAAAAGAAAAAAAAATCTTAAACTCATATTTTCCTGTGTTGTGCTTCAAAATCTCAAGGTCAGGACTAAAAGTCGGCGTCAAAGGTTTTGAAGGAACTGTGTTAAAGGCATTTATTTTAAACATAGACGTGAGTGATGTGGGTGTGAATAAGGAACACTGAACTGGAGGCCATGAAAACAAGAATATGTGTTTTTCTTAGACATCAGGAGCTAATGAAGGTTTTCAAATGACCTGAGCTATGGGAGCTGCATACTCAGATATTAGAGTAGATATTAGGAGAAAGATCAATTTTTAGATTTTAAAAGTTTGTGTGTGTGTTGGGGGGTGCCTGGTGTGTTCACAGAGGCCAGACCTGTCCACAGCTTCAGATCCCCCAAAGCTGCGGTATCGGGGTGGTTGTGAGCTGCCTGATAGGATGCTGGGTACTGAACTCAGGTCCTTTGGAAGAGCAGGCACACCCTAGCCCCAAAGTTAAATTCTTAGAAGGCAAAATAGTTTTTTTCATTGGGGGTCGGCTCATGAATTTGAACTGAGTCCACAGAGGATATACCCAAGGAGGCACTCTGTCCACATGAGGTCCAACCTCCAGTCCTTAAAAGCCAGCAGGGGACCATTCAAGGAGATACTCAGGCAGTTTGCCAACCAGTTTGGCACCTTTTCCCCACCCCTCAATCTTGGGGATCCAATCTAGTGTCTTGAGCATGCTGAGTGTATCTAGGTCTCCAGCCTTTCTTTTTACTTTTTATTTTTAGAACAGGGTCTTGCTAGGTCGCCCAGGTTGGCCTTGAACTTCTTCTGTAGCCCAGGTAGACCTTGCTATTTGATCCTCCTGCCTCAGCCTCTGGGGGAGTTTGCACACCAGGCTCTGCCTGGACCCTCTTCGTTTTCCCAGGAGTCCTGGAAAGAGCATTGATAAGCTTTTCTATGCACTTGGTCATGTATCTCTAGTGCCATTTTAAATTCAGTTAAATTGTGGGTTCCTGAGGCCTTAGTATGTCTAAATCATCAGAAATGGAGCTCCAAACCAGGTGGTGGCAGCACAACCTTTAATCCCAGCACTCGGGAGGTAGAGGCATGTAACTCTCAGAGTATGAGGCCAGCTTGGTCTACATAATGCATTTTAGTACAGCCAGGACTATACAGAGAAACCCTGTCTTGAGAAACAAAAGTGAAAGGAAGGAAGGAAGGAAGGAAGGAAGGAAGGAAGGAAGGAAGGAAGGAAGGAAGGAAGGAAGGAAGGAAAGAAGGAAGGAAGGAAGGGAACTCTGCATATTAATAGACATTTCAGCAAATAGTTCTTCACCAAGTGGATAAAAATAATGAATTTGATCCCTTTATTGTTTTCAATTTACTGAAACAGTCCCCCCCCTTTTCTTTCAATTACATTTATTTAGCTGGATCTCCCTACCTCATAGGATTTATATGAGCAGTGACTTTATTCCTTTTTTTCAAAGCCCTTGCTGGAGACCAGTGAGAAGATGGCTCAGCAAGTGAAGATACTTGGTGTCAAGCCAGACAATTTGACCCACAAAGTCGAAGGAGAGAACTATCTTCCACATGGAGGCCATGATAGACACACGCACCCACACACACATGGGGGAGATGCTTGGCTACTCAGGTGCTCACACTCCACAAACACCCCTCCTTTAGTGCTTCTCATTCTATAGGCTCTCGCTTAACTCTCCTTTCAAGGGAACAGGTCTTCCCTCTGGCCCTTCTTGTTCTTTTGCCTGGTTTCATTTGTTGTCCCTGTTCTGTAGTCATCACATGTTAGAGGTGAGTGCATGGTGGACGTGCTAGCAACGGATACAGCCAGCCAGAGTCATTTTCCAGCTCACCTTTCAGGAGCTGCCAATACTTCTTCCAAATAAGTCTCACTCTTGGGAGTCAGAGGACAAATAGCTCCATGAAAGCATCCTTCCTGTCTCAAATCTGATGTCACCACCTTCATTGCGCCTCCTAAGCTGAATTCTTAGTCATCGTCAGTTGCTGCCCCATCCTCTGTGTCTAATTGGCTTGTCGGTTGCATGCTTCAGATATCTCCAGCTCTTACTCTCACTGATCCATTGCTTCACTTCAGACATCATCTGCTTTATTGCAAGTCACTTCTGAAGGAATTCTCCAGCTATTCTCATTCCAGGCAGTCCTCCGACTGACTGACTGCCAGAGGCCTTCTTCCTAAGCCCTGCATCTGATCATGTCCCTTTCATGCTAGAAACCTCTGAGTGCTGTTATCACATAGGGTACAAAATTAAACATCTTGGCAGTGTGTATAGAACCTTTTGTAGGTATATAAGCAATTGTGTTCTTTTATCTTTCTTGGTTTTTGTTTTGTTTGTTTGTTTGTTTTGAGACGGTCTCACCGTGTAGCCCTGGCTGTCCTGGAAGTTGCTATGTAGACCAGGCTAGCCACAAACTCACAGAGATCCTCCTGCCTCTGCTTTCTGAGTGCTGTATTTTTTAATAAAACATTGAAATGTTTATATGTTTTAAAAATATTAAAATGTTTATTCTATTTGCAATTTTTTAAAAATTAAAATAAAATTATATCATTTCCCCCTCCTCCTCCTAGAGTCCCTAGAGTTTTTTTTTTTATGCCTGCAGCTTATCAAATGATTTAACAAAAGAAAAAAAAAGTAAATGGTAAATGTAGTTGCTGGGGATCTGAACTCAGGTCCTTTGATTTGAATGGCAAGCATTTTACTGAGTCATCTCCTGGCCCCTGTACAGATCTTTAAAAAATTAGGGTTAAATTTTTTATTTTATATATTTTTTTACTTGGTTTGCTTGGTGCCTGAAGAGGCCAGAAGAGGACATCAGATCCCCTGGACTTGGAGTTGCAGATGACTGTGAGCTTCCATGTGAGTGCTGGGAATTGAACCCAGGACCTCGGCAAGAGTAGCCAGTGGTCTTAACCTGCTAAGCCATCTCCCTAGCACCCCCTGTACAGATTTGTGAGCTGGAACATTGTGTGGTGTGCCATAGATGATCTGTACAAGTAACCACAGTAGGTGGGCTAAGGACTCTCGTGTCCCTGGTGTTCTATGCAGCAGTGTGCCTCTTGTCACCAGTGCTCATTCTTGTTGGGTGAGCGTAGGTGCTTGATTGTAGCATTATCATCGGGTTAACAGTCGTCTCCGGTCATACCTGACTTTGTTTTCTGTGGCTCTTCTCCCTACCACCAGCATTACCAACAAAAGGTTCATTATTCTCTGCCCACTCTGCCTCCTGGGTTCTGTGGCTGTAGTTTGAATCTACTTTATAGGGAAAATGGGCCTCACACTCTTAGACTGTCTGGACCAGTCCCTTCCCATTTCTTGGTAAGGAAATTGAGGCTCAGCAGTTTTGAGTGGCTTGCATCAGATCGTCCAGCTAGCACACGGAAGCGTGAGGACTATAGCTGTGACATTCCTATTTCCAGTATCCCCTGACACCAGCCCCCAAACTCCTCTTCCTCATCGGCTCCTTACTAGGGACCAAGGGGATGACTTTCCTTGAATCTGGAAATACCTGCTTCTTAGAAAGACTCAAGCCTAAGGTCCCTTTTCATTTGGGATTTCTAACCCAGTAAGGCAGAGGTTTCTTACTCAGAACTAATAGAGACTAAGGGGAGAAAAAACAGGTGCAGATGATGCCAGTGATGATGTGACTCTGTCCTTTCCCAGCATTTAGAGTTGGATGTCTTTACATCTTGTGAATTTGCCTCAGTTGAGCTTACAATTGTTTTTTAGAAACTCCTCAGTTGTTTTTAGAGCAGCAGAACAGGGAGACTGAACACCAGCTTGAGAGGCTGGGCCAGGAGACTAACAAAGGCGGTATTGTGCTGCTCCTGGCAAAGCCAGTCAGTGAATTCAAGAGACACCTAGATGTGTTTCTAGAGGAGGGCATGATGGGGAGGGGTTTGGTGGAGAAGCAGAAAGGTGGGATTAAGATAAATTAAAACGGGGCCAGCTTGCTGGAGAAGGGGGCCATGTCTTCCTGTTCCTACTGCGTTTCAGACTTCTTGTTCTGCATATTTGAAAAGTTAAAAACCAGTCTATACCATGTACCTCATGGTCGCTCTTTCAAATCCTTCCTCTTTAGGGTAAATTTGTCCCAAGGCTATTTCAGCGTGTGCAGCAGAGGTTTTTATTGCCTGAGTGCAAATCATCAGATATCGCTGGGAATCTTAGACTTCCACATGAAAAAGAATCTTGAACTAACTGGTCCAAAGAGGCTCAGATTTTTCTTCCTATACCTGAAGCCTCCATACCACTTGGGAGTTTAAGAGTCAGCTCTGAGTAGGGCCTGTGGTGGTGTGAGGGAGACTGCCCCCTATAGGCTCAGATGTCTGAATACTTGTTCATTGGTTAGTGGCATTGTTTGGGTAGGTTTAGGAGGTGTGGCCTTGCTGGAGGAAGTATGTCACTATGGGCAGTCTCTGAGGTTTCAAAGCCACCTGCCATTCTAGGTTTGCTCCCTCTGTGACCTCTTTGTGGTTCAGGATGTGAGCCCTTAGCTTGTTGGTCCAGCCGCCATGGACTCACCCTCTGGACCATAAGCTCACACTTCTACAAGTTACCTTGGCCACTGGTCTAACCCTGTCTTTTACCTAATGGAGAGCCAGAGAGAGAAGTCTAAATCAGAAACTGACTGGGGAAGCCAGGCTGTCTGCTTGTCAGTTCTTAGAGCTCTTCCTGCTCAGGGGAGTAAGGTATGGGTGCACACTGACACCACATGATGGTTGAGAGTGTGTGCTATGGTGGCATTCACTCAGTGCTTTCTCTTTGCATGAACTTTATGAGAACTGTTTGGCTTTTACTGTCTTAAAACTGTCTGTCTGCAAGGTAGCACTCCGCGCTCACGTTACTGACGAGGAGACTGGAGACAGGGAGAATAGTATATTTGTTTCTGGTAGCAGCTATGGTACTGATTATCACAAACTTGGTGACCTAAAATGACAAAAAATTATTCTCTCATATTCCTAGACTCTAGAACATAGAAGAAAAAAACCAATTTCTCTAGACCGAGATCAAAATGTCACTAGATCCATGCTCCTTTGTTGGTTCTGGGGGAGAGTGTATGTCTTCCCCTTCTAGTCTCTGATGACTGCCAACATCCCTTGACTTGTGGCTGCGTCTCCAGTCTGCCTCTGGTCTCCTCTTTTCTCTGGTTCAAATCTCCCTCAGCCTCTCTCTTGTAAGGATGTATGGAATTGGATTTAGGGCCCTTCAGATATTTCAACTGATTTCCTCATCTTAGATGTCTTAATCAGACCTACAGCTTTATTTATTTATTTTCTGTATAAAGTAACAGCCACAGGTTCCAGGAATGAGGTCGTAAGGATCTTCTGGAAAACTGTTACCCATTTTGGTAATTTATCCAAGTCTGTTTGGAATCCTCAAAACTTAACATACTTAGTCTCCAAGGTCTCGCTTGGCCTCCCAAGTGCTGCAGTCATAAGCATGAGTCTGTCTCTCCCTTCCCCCCCCCAGCTCTAGTGTCAGCATCAAGATAACCACTATCATTTACTTCTTCCCCTGACTTCCAGAACTCATGTTGAATGGCACTGAAGCAGACAGCCCTCGTGCATCCTGGTTCACTGCTCCTGGCTCCTCTCATTTTTTTCTTAGCTCCTAGAAGGGGGAATTCCATTTTTTCACTAAACAAAAAATGGATAAATAATTCCAACATTCACCATTTTAAATGTGGTTTTGGGGCTGATGAAATGGCTGATGACGTGAGGTTTAATCTCAGGGGCACGAGAGGGAGAAGAAGAGAACTGACTCCCACAAGTCACCCTCTGACCACTGCAAGCCACATGTAACTGCAGTACATACTTGCCTGCACACATGCAAAGAGTAAGTAGTGGTTTTACATAACTTCAGTGTTGCGGACCTGCACCGCTGTCTAATTCCAGAGTGTTCCCATCACCTCAGAAAGAAATCCATAACTGCCGTTCCCTTTCTCCGTTTCCCCACCCCTCTTGCCGTCTCTTTGGGTTTACCCCTTCTGAGTTTTTCATCCCAGCACATTATCAGCAGAATGTAATGCAATATGCAGCCCTTGACATTTGATTCTTTTTTTGTTTATTTGTTTTTTCAAGACAGGGTTTCTCTGTGTAGCTTTGGAGCCTATCCTGGCACTTGCTCTGTAGTCCAGGCTTGCCTCAAACTCACAGAGATCCACCTGCCTCTGCCTCCCGAGTGCTGGGATTAAAAGTGTGCGCCACCAACGCCAGGCCTGACATTTGACTTTTTTTACTGAGTATCTTTTCAAGGTCCATTTGTGTTGTAGCATGCTTTGCTTTTTCTCTTTATGGATAGCCTGTTCACTTTGGACATTTGAGCTAAGGTTTTGTCTGAATATGTTTCTATTTTCTTGGGATTCACTGGGTCCAGTGGTAACCTCTGATAGCTTTAGTGGGAATCCAATATTGTTATATCGAGTGATTCTAATTCCTAGCATGATATCCATAGTTTGTTTGTATATTACCTTTTAGTTTTAATTATGTGTCTATGTGTTTTGAGTGCAGTGCCAAAAGAAGCCAGAAGAGGGTGTCAGGCCTCCTGGAACTAGAGTCACAGATGGTTATGGGCTGCTTGACATTGGTGCTAGGAATCAAACTTAGGTCCTCTTCAAGAGCAGTACACACATGTTCCTTTTAACCTTTGAGCCATTACTGGAACCCCCCCCATTTGTTTATAATGAAATTGCATTCCTACAATATGCAATTTTAATCACATTTCTCATCCTACCAGAAAATGAACATGTATACTACCATTTCAGGCTAATGAAGGGGTGGTGTGGGTGTGCCTGCCTAGTCACTCTTGAGTAAGTCAAGTCTCCTTGACTCCCTGAGAGGTGAGTTAGATAATCTCTACATTCTTTTCCAGATTCAACCTTCTGCATCTGAGAGGACTGAAAATCTTGCCTCGTGTTACGTCCCAGAGCTTATGTTCTGCTTTTTTGTTTTTTAAATAGCAGTTCATCAAGCATAACATTTTACCTGTCTTGATTTTATTGTGGCCTGCTAGCTTCCAGCTACTATGTTAAGCACCAGAGATACAAGGAGGATGACTAAGACTTCCTAGTCTAGCAGAAGACAAACATAAACATAATTATAATATTGAGAAATTACAATTAAATGACTGAGAATGCCAGAAGAGAGAGCTCAGGTTAGATGACATTTGGGGTGGCTTTCTGGGTGACTGAGTGTTACCGAGTAAGAGGGCAAAGCTTGACTTCATTTGCTGGCCTTCCTCCTTTCCTGTGGCCGTGAAAGTGGCTTCTCGTTCTCTAGCTCTATTTTGATCCTTTTGCTTGTCTGATATTTACAGATTTATTGACTCAAGGGTCTGTACAATACTATATTTTGTCCTGAGTACTGACCACACACAAACCCTCTTCCTTGTTTGGGTTTTTGTTGTTTGTCTTGAGAAAGGGTCCCTTTCTGTAGCCGTAGCTGACCTAGACTCTGTGTGGACCGAGCTAGCCTCGAACTTAGAGCTATCTACCACCTCTGCCTCTCCAGTGCTGGGATTAAAGCTGTGCACCACCACACCCGGCCTCTTCTTTGTTTTCAGAGAACTTCAGTCTCGGGTTCTGAATAAGGAGTCTTGCTTAGATCTTAATTGTCTTCATAGTATCAGCTTGGTTTGGGCTTCCCCAAATGATCTATTTTGCCTCTAAGTGTTTTAGTTACATACAAATGTCAGCAATGTGACATTGTACAAGATGACCCTCAGCCCAAACTAAATGTTTAACATCTGACTAGAAATACATATGGATGACTGTGTTAGGGAAATGGTTCAGTGGGTAAAGATACCTTGCCACCAGGTTTAGCAACCTGAGTTCTGTCCCTGGGACCCACATTATATGGAAGGAGAGAACCTACTCCTGCAAGTTGTCTTCTGACATCCACATATGCATATACACTCTCAGGGGGCGAAAAGTGCAATTTTTTTTTTTTACTTTGGAAGAGAAATATATATATGGAAGGCTTTGTTTTCGACTGCCTCCTTCCCAGCCCCCAGCCTTCGGGGGGGGGGGTCATTGTACAACTCTTTCCATGGTCACTGCTCTCTTCAGTTTTACTGGAGGGCAAAACTAGGGCAGAGAAATAATTTTTATTCACTTCTGAAAGGTTACAGTAATAAAGAAACTCTTGTTAACATCAGAGAACGTTGCAGCCAAGAGTTTTCACAGTCTGGCATTGTTTATTTTACATGTAATTTGGAACCTTCTGCACTCTTAAAATATTGGCACAAAAATGTTTTAACTCTTGCACTGCTTCACTGGAGGCAGCAGCTGTGTGGTGTCAGGAGTGCAGCAGGGCTCTGGAGAGCCATTCACCCTCTTCCTGCTGGAGAGAAGTGTGTGTGTGTGTGTGTGTGTGTGTGTGTGTGTGTGTGTGTGTGTGTGTGAAAATATGCACACACATTTGCATTCACTCGAGGTGTAATAATCCTGCTTCCCTTTGCCTGTCACTCCTAGGAAGTACAGAGTTTCCAGAGGACCTGTCGCTGGTCCCTCTCTCTTGCACACTCTATTCCTTGCCTCTTTGGCTTTTGTTTGAGTTAGATGTATGCAATGGAGGCGCCAAGCTGTTAACTGGGTAGTTTGCAGTCATTGTCATCTCGCTTATCCCCACTAACTGAGCTTGGATAGCCTTGAATCCATCCATGATTTGTAGCTGATTTGAACCAAGGAAGAAGAGCAAAGCAGGTGCCCGTGGCCACTGGAGTCACAGGCCAAGTCTGACTGTTTCCAAGCCTCTGCCTCTTAGCCGTCATATATACTTTTAAGTTAAGTTGAACCTCTTTTCAAAGTAGGTACAATACAAGTAAGAATAATAGAGCAAACGAATGACTCATAGTGTGTGTTCATGGCCACGTGGACTGATCCTAAGATTACATAACAAGCTGCTGGTGTTAAGTATGAGCTGGTTCCTATTTTGTTAGGTTGAGATTAAGATTTTAAACTCCTTCCTGGTCTGTCTCCCTGTTATTGGAACCCAGGCAGTCCCCATGACTAGCCATGCTTTTCAGTAGTCTTCTAGTTTGGGGACTGTGCCCTGCTGCTCTCTTTCCTCTAAGTGTGACATTTTCTTTCTTGGCTTCCAAACTAGAGCTTTTGTGAAACAAGTGGAGCTTACAGCTATCAGGCAAGTTCTGTAGCACTGTCCCCGCACTGTGCCCTTCTCCAGGGATGGCAGCAAAGGGCTCTTCCCCAACAGGAGTCTGGCTCTGAGCAAAGGCTACAGGACTGCGTTTATAGCAGGCCACCAGGCTGAAGTCTGTCTTGGTCTTACTACATTTCCAGGGCCCACAAAAGAACAAGAAGGACTCAGGACTTCTCAACTCTTCTTTGCCCAGAGAGCACTTTGTTCCCTTTTGAAAGACACAGGAGCTGTCCCCCTGGTGGAAAGTCCCCATTAATGTAGGCATATGCAATACTGGACCTGGGCAACAGGCTCCTCTCAAATGCAGTGCAGCTCTCTGTGTGTTGTGTGTGCCTGCTGTCTGTCTCTACCATGTAGGCACTCGGTGCTGAAAAGCCCAGAGGCCAGTTTCCAGTTTCCCAAGCAGTCACCTTGCAGCTGCAGAACTTCTAAAGCCAGATAGATGGATCTGGGTTCTAGTCATGTCTGTGGCTCAGGTGGCCTTACGACCTTTGGCAACTCTCTACCTCTTCTTGCCTTCATTCTGTCTATTCACATACTGTTGGGTGACGTAACCAATGCTCACTGCTGGGAACATATCAAGCCCTGGTAAATGACAGCTCTCAGGCTGTGTATAAGCCTTTTCGAAAGCATTTCACTCAACATAGGTGGAATATGTGTGCATCTGCCATGTGCTACTGGACCCTGGTGTTCTGGAAGGTCGAGATCCTTTTTTTCATATTTGTGGGAGATGGAGGTGGTATTCCTGGTCTTCGTAACCCTCTATCGGGAAGCCTGGATTGGACACAAGCAGGTTCACTTCTTAGCATGGCCTGGGCAGAGCATGGTGGGCATGAATGCTTTAGTTTATACATCTGTACTTAGGGAAATAGTAACCCCTTATTTTGGAGTCTTTGAGGACAATTTAATATGAAATGTGTGGTGTTTGGAGCCCTTTGAAAGGGAGGGTCCTAGGGAAATTAATGGTGTTTTTGCTGTTCTTGGGAAAGCCCTTTGTGGTTCTTGGTGAATAAATTATTTGGAGTGAGTTTTCTAACACCTCCTGCTCAGCTGGTCACTGTGACTTTTTTTTTAATAACTGTCTGCTGTAATGCTTTTTTGCTCATGACTTATAAAGATATATAGTTTTGGTGTTGGACTTTTGACCCCTGCCTGCTCCCAGGAGAGACATTTCTATCAGGATAATAAAAGGTGTAAACTATCTGTCATTCATTTTCTAGGCCATGGGCTTGTGAGTGGCTGGGGCAGGGGATAAAAGATGATTCCCCCTGGGTATTCAGTGGCTTTCTGTATGCCCCCACTCCCCTCTTTTTCACCCAGTCCAGTGCCCTTTGCTAAGGTTCTTAGGATTCAAATAAGCCATTGTCTTTGACATCTTAAGTAGATATGCACAGCTTTCTCTTTTAGAAACTGGAGCTGTTTATTGTCTGCTGTGCTTTAGTCCCAAAGTGAATTGCTTGCCAGAGGAAGCCTCTCTAGAGAAAGGAAGGCCGGCCTCGCCCTGTCTCATTTAGCTTGGTACATGTAGGGGCCTGTGGTACTTGTGGGAGCCTTGGCTTCCTATACTCCTTCCTTCTCTGTTCCAGAGGCCCTGCACCACCATGAAGAATTCGACCAGGATGGGAAGTGTGAGGACCCCAGTTTAAACCCCTGCATCCATGTGAAAAGCTGGGCACCTAGGGAAGTCTCTTCAATCCTGACCCTAGGAAGGAAGAGTCAGGGTCCATGAGGTTTCTGACCAGTCATTATAGCAAACAAGTAAGAGACCTTGTCTCAAGAACCAAAAAAGGTGAAGAGCAGTTAAGGAAGGCGCCTGACTCTGCCTTCTACAGCACTCACTGCTCATGCTTGTTGCTACCCTACCCCCAGCCTGCATCATCATTAACTTGTGTGGCTTTTCTCCCATACAGCTGGGTGTGATGACAAATGCCCGTAACCCATCACCTGCAAGATGCAGGCGAGAGCATCAGTAATTCCAAGCCAATCTCCACTACTGTTAAGGCCCAGAACAGCCTGTGCTATATGAAACCCCTGCTCAAAAAGACCAAAAAATTGTTTCATTCATTGTTGAAGGAACACCTTTGTTTGTTCCTTACCAGGCACTAACCTCTAAATACTATTGACTGAGAGTATTTCAAGAAAAAGTGACCTTACAGGGCTTACAAGTGGTTTAGGGCCTGGAAGATAAATGGCTGTCTTCCTGGGTTCAGTTCCAAACTAAATAGATAAACGAGAGCCATACAAGCTCACCTACTGTTTTGTTGTGTGGCAAGCTTCCTAGAGAAGCTGTCCTAGTGTAGACAGTGAATGAAGGGAGGGAGGGATGAGAAATGCACTCTCCCTCAGGTGAGTGAGTAGTTTGGTCTGAAACTTGCTTCTGAGGTGTCTCACAAGGTGGTTAAGAGTGGTGTGGTCACAAGGTGGTTAAGAGCGGTGTGATGCCAGCCAGACTTGATGTGCTCACATGCTGCCCCAGCCATGGTCAAGGTACATTGTCTTTGTGCTTCAGTTTCCTACCTATAAAAGAGAAGTGACAGTGGTACCCAGCCTCGTGTCCTAAACTATAGTATTGTGAGGTATCTGCCACATATGAGACTCTTGAAGCAGTGCTGGGAAATAGATGATTATTTTATTATTTGTTGATGAACATTTCCTCTCACATGTTAATGTGAGAAAAGGCAGTTAGACATGGTTTTGATGGAAGTCTGAGGCTGGGAGTGATTTTTGTTTCCAGACTGACGGGGTATGGAAATGGCCACTGGAACTTGAACTTTGCTTTGATAACAGGGCAATTTCATAGTTGTCTCGAAAGAGACCACCAAAGAGATTTCCTTACAAGACATGGTATTCTTTCCAAGGTATTCTCTTTCCTTTGTATAAAATACCATTTAGAGAACATTTTGCTTATTAGAAAGGAAAAGGAAAAGGTTAAAAAAAAAAGTGCTGGAGAGATTGCTCAGAGGTGAAGAGCATTGGCCACTCTTGCAGAGGACCTGGGTTTGATTCCCAGCACCCATACAGTGGCTCACGGTCACTGTAACTTTGTCCCAGGATCTGAGGCCTTCTTCTGATCTCCATAGGAACCATGCATACACATGACCAACAGACATACATGCAGGCAAAATATTCATACAGTAAACATAAAGATAATAATTTTTTTAAAAAAGAGAACAATACTCTTTAGAGACAGAGCCAGTCACAGAGCTTCATTTTAAGGACATCCAGACAAAGTTTGCTCCTCAATCACTCTGGGTGGGAATGATCTTATTTGCACACTTAGTTCAGCCTCCTCTAGGGTACTTCTAGAGTATTCTATAAGCCATCTACTGAATGGCAGGTCTCTCTGAGCCTTAAAAGAACATTGTGACAAAGCAGAA